CGTAGGCCTGCTTATAAAAAATTATAATGTACTTTCAGATTTTGGTTTTAACTGAGTTTTACCTACCTACTCTACGTGTACAGATATCGAATGGTATGCGTGGTTTGTTACCGTGGGTATATCACTATACAACCCATTAACGTTCATGGTATCTCGGTCGTGTTTTTTTGTATTTGTTTTATCGTTAAASGAAAAATCGTTAATTTATTTTGTAATAGCTTATTACCTATTAAGCACTGTCTTATTATTATGCCATCCTTTGATATAACACATGAACAGAAATTACTAACATATTATTATTCCTAAATTGAACAAAATATCTCGATTTGATCCGTGGAAAGTCCTACTATGTCTAAATATTGGACTTGAATGCCATAAAAATCTATTAAATRTGTGTGCATGCAATTATGAGCTTTAAAAGCACCAAAATATCCATTTAGATTTTATTTCATTTTTTATTCTCGGATTAATATGTAAATTTTTACATTTAAAATTAAAATGAATGTATTTTAAATGTGAGTGARCTTTAAATTATTTTAAATATCAACGTAAATAGTTTGGTACCTTCAGCTCAGTATCTACGATAAATGTACAATATAGGTATACTTTGCATTTTAAGACAGCTATTGGCTTTGAAAATACGTATAATATTATAAAATATATTGTTAGTCACGAGTTCACGAGAAGGCTACAATAGATAAAATCTCAAATCAATATCTTTATTTTTGAAGTTTTAATTCTGTATAATATTACTATTTTAGTACCCGATTCCATATCGATATSACCCAAGTATTAAAATCTTAAATTGTATAATAAATTAAACCGTAAAATTAGGAAATATTTGAAATTGAAAGTCTGAATAACCAAAAATTTGCGATACTTGAAGTTTCTGATACATTTTTATTTGTAGGTAGTCTGAATGTTAATTTAAAAATAGCTTATACTTGCAGTGATAATCATAATTAATTAACAAACGACCAGGGAATTCCATTAGAAATTTCAAGTCTTACGATTTAATTTTTTCGGAAGAAAATCTTAACTAATCCAACAAATTTTTTTGATTAATTGAGATGATAATAATTAATAATTGGCATTGGTATATACTATATAGTATATTATACTATCGTTCGTATACAGCGGAAGATGTGATGATTATGTCTTTTCGGACAAAATACATCGAAGTGTCATACAACTCAATACGCTTTAAATATATAATTATTATTTTCGTAACTTCCAATTATTATTGTTATTATGTACTCGTAAGTAGTTTGAAGGGAAAAAAAACATGAGATGTGTTTAAATGTGCTACCACAGATTGTCTGTACATTGCAATAATTAATGTGCTCGCTGTGTAATGGTACAAAGACGGAATGGACGCGGTTTGAATAATAAAAATCTTCTTGGCGTTATTTTTAATTTACACGAATCTAACTCTCACGAAAGCAAGTATAGGTGTGCAGCGTTTATTATTATACCTTGGCAGCTATTCGGAATCTTAACTCAAACGCACGAATTTCAAAACAAAACATTTTTAATTTTCAGACAAACCGAATAATAGATCGATTAATAATATCGTCGTGGACGTTAATAGGTACTATATTTTTCCAACCTCTTGTAACTCACTGATTATTGATCAGAAATCAGTGGTCAGTGATTACAACGCCACGACGTTTATATATTAAATTAAACGCTTAATGCAGTCGCTGACTAGAGAGATTATTATAACAAATATTGAAATTTAAAGTATACTTTTCGTTAAAAGACGACTTCGTCAAGACGGTGGATCACTGGATTGCGTTTAAAGTAGCACGCGTATTTGCTTTCACCCAATAATATTACATCTCGTGATGTAACTGTAATAATACAGAAACATTTGGCGATATTATGCGATAATTATTTGTGAAGTAAAAATTATTATGTTATTTCGTGTGTAAGTGCACAATGCACACAACAGTGTACATTTTCAATATCTCTAAAGTGCATTTTAGGTATACAATAATAATTATCACCTTAAAATTTTAATTAAACTCCTAAATACATATTATTATCAGAACATTTAGTTATTTTAATTTTACTATATTTTTTTCCTCGCTGTATATCGTCAAAGTACTATATTTACACTATTAAATCATTATTTCTTTTGGGTGCCAGTGCACTATATATAATATTATAACTGAGCGTATTTTTATTGTTAGGCACATGCAAAGAAAAAGTTAAGTTATTTTAACGAGATTTTCATTGAATAGCAAACTTATACTTTTCAGCTCTTACAATGATTTAAAAACTCGTTTAAAACCGTAAACTGTTGCATAAAATAAAAACTATAACTTTTCGTATTATATTATATTGTCGGACCTTAAACTATTTTCAGATGAATATAATAATACATTATAATATGTTACGCGTATAATTATGAAAAGACGGCGGCGGCCGATCGCGGTCGTAAATCGTAAGTACCGACGCGATATTGGTGTAGAAGATATTGTTATAAAAAATATCAGTTGCGGTGACTCGTCGTCGTTGAATGAAATAATAAGTATTATACATTGACAATGGTAGACGGTAGTCATAATAATAATAATAATATAATATAGTCCCTGACCACTGAAATATATAAATGGCAACGAACCTTCAGATTCGACCACTAAACTCTTACACTTATCCACAGATGCTCTCATCGTYTCCCCCTATCGTTTTCCATAAAGACTTAAGAGAGTAATAACACAAAACGACGCATAATTTCTGTGTAAAATGGAATCAAATGAACCAAGCTAAACGAAGTAAAAAAATCCGTTCGACTTTTTCTCTTTCCTGTTATTTAAAACCATGATTGAACAAGAAAACATGAGATCATCTTAGGATAATGACCACTCACTTTTAATGGACTAAGAAGATTCTCTATGTCGTGGGGCCTACCCCACAGWAAAACATATTCTAACTTAATATACGAYGACAAGGAGTTAGGGCAATTCTATAAATATCCGATCACCTAGATGAAATATACTCAACTCTGATCCCAACAACGGATCTCTATAAGCTCATTCAGCTCCATTCATCTTAGAAATAGGAACCATATACATCATACAAAGCTAGGTAATACTTTTTTAGTATATTTCAATTTTTTTGTAATCATCATTTATTAAGTAACCAATATTATGTGATTTGTAAAATCATTTGCAATGTAATGTCACGTCGAATATGGCCAGAGCTGATGTCGTGGACAGTTTTTGATTGATAAAAAAAAATAATATTTTTTTACTCACCAGCTCTTTTTTGTCAGCCGGCAATTTCATGTGCGACGCCAGCTCAAATATCGGTAACGGGAACACCATTGGCTTCGGGCGCCGGAGTGGCGGGTCTTGTCTCCGGACCAGGTCCATGAACCCATCGATGACGCCCGGGCTGGGGTAAAGCTCGATGTCGGACGGAAGGACGTAGTGCGTGGTGGCCGACTCGCGGGCCACGTTCCGGCCAACGTTCACCGGATACAGCAGCTTCTTCTGGCCCTTGTACGCGGTCGTCGCGTTCGTCCACGGCGGCGGTGCCGAACAGTTGGCCACCAGCGCGTCGATGTCGTGGTCCGTGTGCGGCACCGACTTGGGCACGTGCCCCGACCCGAAGTACATGTGGAACGTGACGTACTCGGCCACCAGCGGCGAACCGCACTGCCTTAAGTATCGGATCGAGGCCAGCGTGGGCACGAAGTCGTTGCCCGGCGTGTACAGCGCCACCGATATTGGTCCTCGCCACCTGCCGATCGGATACGATAACGATTGTCAATAAATATTATGTTTACGACCACAACGGTGGATAACATTTACTAAGAAGAAATTATCGAACTTTTCGATACATGTGGGTATTTTTGAGATAAGTCAGTGTTTTTATGTTAAATYACTTGGTTTTAATTMTGATTTTTTTGATAGTAGGTAAAAATTTGAAGCTCTTATTTATTGTTTATGTAGGTTATAATATACGAGTGTTTGTTCGAAAAAATAGACGATGTACACATATATGATAAATGTCAAAAGCTGTAATTTCAAAACTAATTCATCTTTTTGCTGTAATCGAAAAATCGTTTTCATCATTTTTTTTTATGTTAAAATGGTTGGAAAAAATACGGCGAAACAAAACGGTAAACAGCTGTTTAAAATGTTTTCACGTTGCGATCACCACTGAAATTGTCATGCTACCACCCACCACCTCTCCGGCTTCCAACTAAAACTTCCCTCTATACACCTCAAACGTCGAACCACGTTTGAGGTCGGATTGGAAGCACCTTGTAAATTTACCTGTCCAAAAGCGGTTCCAGATTGTCGAGGAACGTGAAGTCGGCGTGCGTAGTGTACGTGATGGACTCTTCGCACCGGAACCATCGGCGTGCCGGCACGTAGTTGTAAAGCACCCAATAATCGCCACGCTGAGCGATCCGCCGGCGATTGGACTTGTCCTGACAGCCGAGCAGCTCGCGGAGTGGTCGGACCTGTTGTACCACGGCCGTGTTTGTCATCGCCATGGCCACGGCGGCCACAAACGACGTGCCGGCGGTGGTCGTCGCCGATGTGGTCGTCGTGGTCGACGTCTGCTGCTGTTGTGTTGGCGCGTCTTTTTTTTCGGGCGTCCACGATTCCGCCGGCGCGGCCGCCGCCGATCCGCCACCGCCTGAAGCGGACGAAGTGTCGGCCGCGTCCAACGATTCGGCCGCGGCGACCACTGTTTTGGGTTTGATGCGCATCACATGACCATCGTCCCGCAACGTCGTCCCTGTAAACCACGATTATTAATTATTATTATTTTATTATTTATAGGCACATGCATTAACATGGCTAAGGTACATCATGTGATCGTCATGGTCTGATATGATGACCTTGCCTTTTAACACTTATAAAGCTTGACCTAGAAAAAATTCAAACTTAAAACGTTGAAATAATTCAATTATTTTAAAAATTCAGTCTAMAAAAGATGATAACTCAACTAACAAAAATATAATTATAGTCACAGCCAAGAGAGATCAAAAAATGTCTCCTAAAATAATAGCTTTTTATCAGTTAAGCTGTTCTGGTACTTTGCGTTTCAATGTCATATGTACGTAAAAAATACATTAGTTATACATTGATGTATATATTCTTATTATTTTTTTTATTATGAAAAGAGTTTTTAAAATGTTACCATGTAATTACAGTTAATTCTTTAATAAATCGATGAGTACGGTTTATAATAATTTATTTTAAAATTTGAAATATAGTTTCCCAGATTCAGGTCACAGAACGGTCTGCAAATTAACACGTCACGTCTTTGATATTGTTTAGGTAAACTATTAATGATATTATATTAATTGGACATACTTTCACGGTGAGCTAGCGACCTAAATTATTATTATCTCAGAAAATCGTTTTAACAACTACTTGCCGATAAACGTTTTTACGAAAATCTCAATGGCTAAGGCGGAGGGTCGATGGGCTTAAATCTCGGAAAATCATAATATCCTAATATAGTCTGGTACTAGTATATATACGTATCTTTACGATAAAGACGCTCGCCCGAAACGGTTGTTACGACCGGAAACAAAACGCYATTAATTATTWAWAAAAAGAAAAAACATAACACGCTACTCAATATTTTTCATCTACAAGAAAAATCTATGAATCATATTAAATTTGTTTTTGTTTATAAGTAACTATAAAACGACAACGAAAACCTCACGAAAAATTGGTCCAAAACAAAATAAAAAAAAAATATGTATACAGCTCAAAAACATAATATTCACGTTATAATAGTAAACTAGTCTGTGGAGTACTCCTCCACCACTCGACCACTCCACAGAAACGACGGATGTCATCGACGTCCGCGTGAATAAGTCAATGACGCTGCTTGCGATCGAAATTATAATATATACCTAAATATCAAAACATTTTTCATAAGGTCGAAATTGTATGTGGTAATATAGTAGTAGCAACTATACATAGTAAGTACATGTTATATATAGCACCTATAAATTATAATGAATAATAAGTGAATAATAATCATCAGAGGAGGGAGGAATTCGCAAGGTAGAAGGTTGTGTGGTTTCCGAAGCGATGTAAATCGGTAAATCAGGGCACGCGTCACAATTGAATTCCTTCGCGCTCAGTTTTCGTTTTTAATTATGCACTCGTCGTAACTATTGCATATTGTGCGATTTCGTTGTTGTAGTGGCTGGAGAGTGTGATGTTTACGTACGCATAATATTGCGACGATAAAACGTATATTATTGTCGCAGTGTAATCAGTCGTTGTGTGGATCTTGCGCGTGAAAATTGTCTCGTAAACGCGAACACCGCCAAACGTGAGCGGGAAGGTAGGAGGAACGGAAGAGGTAGGGTGTGTGGAAAAACTGCACGCTGCAATTATATACATATATTTTTTTCGATTTTTTTTTTCAAGTCCGCAATTTGACGAGCGCGTGTGATTGTGAAGCGACGTAATGATAGCATAATATATGTAATAGCTCCTCGAAATACGCCATCGCACGAATGTGACCAAAGATAATTATATAAAATTACAATAATGTTATAATGACAACACGTCAACACGAATTTTCATATGGCCAAAAATAATTACGTCGTACCCATCGTACAWGTATTATATGTAATTAAAAGCTACCTATGTAATATACATCATACAATGCATAGCAAGCGTGGGATTTCGGCGATTACACGGCAGAGATAACGACGAAATATCATTTGTTTTTTTGTGTATTGTACTTGTTGTAGCAAAAGTGGATGGAGGAAGGAAATCGCCCTTGACGACGACCGCCACGTGACAAGTTGCATTCAGTTGACTTTGTTTGTTTTTTTTGTTTTTGTATATATACTGTGCCTTTAAACGATGATCTCGATTACTAAGCACCGCATGAACGTAGTCGACGAGGATCCTCGTACACGGAGGGTAWATGTTTTACGATTTGTATTAATTCAGTGTACAAAATAATAATAACAGTCAGTCAAAACGGCACGAAACGCATATATTTTATACCTTGCGTAGACAAAACTAAATGCGTTTTTTTTTTTTTAATTCGAGGGGAAATGTATATTTTAACCCTGCGGCAGAGGCCTACGCTGGGAAAACACAATACGCAATAACGACGATGGTTTTACTATGATTAAACGTAAGCACATAACTCGTGCCTCCTAGCTATAATACATGAATTATTTATATTATGTAAAATATGCTTAATACGGATAGCTTAGAAAAAAACTTTAGCTTTAAAACGGTGKCGTACAAAACTGCGGCGGGGCAGCCACGGCGGTTCACGAATATAAATAATAAAATATAATATTGCAATATACACCACGCAATCGTGTTGAGTAATAAACGATGTACATTTTTTTTTACTCAGATTTCGTTACAGCATTTCATGTAGACGAGTTTTTGGTTTGTCCCCACAATATATAGGTAAGGGATAAAAAAAAGTTCGTGATTTTCGTGTTCGATAATACAGTCGGTTTAATCAGACGAACTGCACCGTTAGAATCTGATACGCATGTTTTTATGCTAAGCATACACTAGACACATCGTAAAATACATGACGTGTACATGACGTACACCTAACACAGTGCCCAAAACTCTAATATTTTATATACATCATCATATCATAAACTAAAAATACTACGYGGCCGTACAWTTTAATAAATAATGATAGTCCGCCGTGCAACGGAATCCAATTTACATTATCGGGAATAACTGCTACACAGTAATTTTCTTTTTAATTAGCTAAAATACGGTAAAAATAGCAACGGCCGAGARTAMATGCATTTAAAATGTATAACTTTTGATCGCTCCYACCGTTTAGTACCTATATTATACTTATATAGTGATTGTGGATTGCCTTGAAGTTCAATTTTAATTTGTTTAAACTAGTTATGATTTTGTAAACATGTTTTTTATTTACTATATTTTTATGTTTATTATGCATGTGTATTAGTGTTACAATACTCCCAGCAGTGTATATAATATATTATTACAGCGTTAATAATATTGCATATTRTACAAACTGCATGAAAATGTGTTCTGTAAAACACAATCATTGGCTTAAAATCACGGATTAGCTTATCTGTATCCCGGCAGATAATCTACGGATGTATTTATTTTGTTTACCCATTTTATATGTCAAGTGTTTTAGAATGGCGAGAGTTTACTGAGACGGACGGTGATGATGCAAGTATACCTATACTCKCTCGAAAATTATTTGGCCACTCGTACGAAATCCTTGAATTGATTTTTTTCCTTTTGCAGTTAAGCTATTTATACGTTGTCCAACTTGAYAGTTAAACACCAGAAGCTCGAATCAAATAATTTAATAATATGAAATTACTTATTAATTATATCACATAATATGTTTTCTCTTTAGAAATCGGTAGCTTTATAATTGTAGTTGAATCATAAGGGCATGTCATCGTAATTAAATGAGTAGGTTATAGGTTTATTACTATTCAACATTTATAGTACATATTTTATGTTTTATCAATTCAATTATGACGAATTTGAGTATTTTTAAASTTATTTATTTAGGGTTTTTTAAATTAATAATAAATTATTTTTAGTGTAATCCAATTTTATCAAATACCTGAGTTTATAATATTATGTATACATATAATAATATATATACATAAAATAGTTATAATAGATTTTGTATGGTACATGCAGCTGYATAATTTCATTTGTCGATGTAATGAAATTGCAATGTTGTAAAATAACGGTTTCTCGGTGAAAAAAAGATTAGAAATTGATGTTATTATACCTAATCGCTCAGGTTTCAATGATGGATAAACTATGTAAAGTGATTAATTCTAACAATATATTTTTTATGATATCGAATCAGAATAAATTATGATCTAAATTGTCGTATTGTGTTGCCACTCTCTGGTTAACGGTTATCTATACTAAATACTTAATATATTTCACGATTTATCATTATAACAATAAGTGGTATTATTTATGGATTAGGTACCTATATATATATTATGTATCTATATATTTATTTATATTGCAATGTACTTAACGTCGTTTCGGGTTAACCGCATGATAAGTGATGTCATCCGTTTTCACGACCTTGCGAAAAATTTCATTTCCTATTCACCGAATCAAATTATTCGGCTTTGCACTTCAGTCTTTTCCCCAATTGTCACCTTGGCGGGTGAATGCGTCTATACAGTGCGCACCGAGAAGAGCGCGGTCGCCWTCTTATCAAAAACGGGCAGCTATATTATACTCGTATAGCTATATGTAACGTGTTTTTTCCTCCAAGGACGACCTCTGGACAGCAACGAGTTTTATTAGCACGAGGTAATTGGACAAAAAACATAATTATAAAACAAACACTGTCCGTTGTTTCAGATATTTTCCCCTTCGGATTTCGCGTATTACTACAAAGCGCATATATAACACGATGGCYGTGTCCGACCGTCCGTCGCATTTTCGTCATTGTGWACGTAAGTACGGCGGCGCTTAACCCCCACCACGTCAGGTCATCCGAAGTGAACAATAAAGACCATTTTTTTTTCGTTTTTTAAACACCTGCGCCTGCTTATRTATCCGGAGGGTTTTAGGGCATACTGAAAACGTGCAAAAATTTTGTTTCGAAACGATCATGATACAAGTCCCTATATACAATATTAGATAATTGTATGAACGACGTAAACGATATTACGGTGCTTATTATATAAGTATATGTTTTACATTAAGTGGGCATAATTTAAAAACGCTAACTAAAACTCAAATGCAACGTTCAATGTAAAATATAGGTACTCGCGCGCGTCCTCTTGCGCAGTGTGTTCCAGGCACATAAATCATAATCGATATTATATCGAGTAAAWTATATTTACCAACCCCCACATTCCGCTTGTACTCACGTGTCTTATGGTTATTTCTTCGAAGGGGTAATAGCAATTAAATATTATTGTTCCACAATGACCGTTTATAATATGATGATTATAGAATTATGTTAAAGGGAAGAAAATAACGTGTTACATAAAGAGCAACATATACGAATACGGCAACACATTATAATATAATGTCCTATATATTATAGGGACAACATTGGAAGCGTACGGAATTTTTTTAGTTTTAGTTTAGGTTTTTGTGTCGTCTACTTTCCACTGTGTAATTTATGATGAAATTCCGAGGTGCAGAATGTAATATTTAAGAGGATTATAGAGTATCTATATAATAAGAGTGGGTGTGCAGCAACCACTACGAGTGCATGGAGAATAATTTATCGTACACAACATAATATTGTTAAGGAAGACGGTCTATACTCTGACACAGTGACACTCGTTGTAACGCAGTCTGCCACCCAGAATCGCGTGGTATCGCCAACCGCGAATTTATCGCTTTCGTTAAAGTTGAGTGTAAAAAAGAAATATCTAAATGATATATTGACATCTTTAKAGAGCACCTACATGCWGGTAGGGGGAGTGGTAGGTACATATAATAACAATAATAATGTTATACGTATATATTATGTTTATAAATACAAACGCGTATCGTCGTGGGCAGCAGCTATAATATGCTATATAATATATATTATAATATGATGTTGTRGTCTACTGGAAACCCGCAACGTCTGGTCAAGTGGGAGGTTGCTGTATTTGGCATCATGTGTTTGCAGCGAGTTTGTTTTCTGTTTTGTGGAAGGGTAGTGGAGGGGTGACAAGTGGAGGTAATGGGCGAGGAAGTATTTGATAGTGTCTATAATATATATATAATATAATAATATCGACCACGCTGCGTGCTGTATAAAATACACTCTGCTGCAAGTAGACGCGAGTACACGACTGAAGTGAATATTATTGAAAGTGATTCAAGACGACGGGCTGCACACTTGAAACCAGAAGAGGTATTCAGTTTCTCTAGCGGGAAAATACAGGCCCAATATAGAAATATTATTTATTGATTTTGTTCTGAACAACGTACGACGTCACGTCGGTACAAAAACTTTTTTGTACATTATTGTGCACTTTTTTTTCTAACCATACCTTGAACGGGTGTTTGGGCAGATGAACCCTGTTGTTGTTGCTGTTGCTGTGGTTGCCCAGCGATTGGCTGTATGCTGCCCAAAAGCGCTAACTCAGGATAGTTGGCTGATCCGCCGGACGCGCTCTGGTAGAAGTACGCCGCCGTTTCTTTTTCCCCGTTTTGAGAGGCTTCGGCGATGGAGGCCAAGTTCCTTCCGGACATCTGCACCTCCTCCACGATTTCTGAGTTTCCATTTCTACAACAGCAAAACCGTTTAGAAACATTACCCAAATAATTATTACAATATGATACAACGATAAACACGTTAATCGAAGAGTATTATAATAATAGGTAAATGGCACAATGCACTCGACAATTAACGCATTAATTGAATCCGCGAATTCTACAATTGCAGAATCAGTACTATAGATACACTCGACGACGTAGGACGAGAAAAAGAAATCTTCGTCATCGTTTCACGTACCCGATGGTCAAGTAGGACCCGAAATAGAACAATACAGCTACATTCAAAACGACGCTCAGTCGTAGTAGCCAGTTGCGTCTTGTCAGCATAATCTAAACTGCTCGCTAGTAACGACGTCTTGTACACCATTACCGAACCTGAAACACACGACATTTACATAAATACCAGATTACAGACGACAGCGACGTGCATATAGTATTTTATTATTATTTTCATGCGATGGAGGGGAAAGCGAATCTCCGAATCACACGCGAGCGTGACACCAAAATCTAATGGTAATAATAATAATACATAACAATCGTTTCCGGAACGTCCACGTGACGGCGATATAACATCATGAATCACTTCCCAGAGGAATCAAAGAGCTGGTTTGGCGTCTTAATATAATACAGAGTGTAACAAAAAGATATGACAGATAAAACATACATATTTATTATTTAGCCCCATGTGGTTTTTTCCTGTGGGGCTACCTTAAATCGTTGGTGTACACGGATCGTCCAAAGACCCTTCATCACCTCAAAAACAATATTCGTGCTGCCATTGCCTTCGTAAACACAGATATGTTGGAAAAAGTGGACAACGATTTCAAATTCCGACTATCTCAGCGCATTGACGAGAACGGTGGCCACCTCCGAGATGTCATTTTTAAAACCAAATAAAATAAAACTTTAAATGTACCCCTATACACAGAAAAAAATAATTAAATCAATATTGCCATTACTTTTTGTATTATGATTTTTTTAAATAAGGAAGTAACCACTCTCCTCTCTGTATTATAAAAACTATATAAAATATGTATGACATTCTCTCATATCTTTCTGTTACACACTGTATACGACTACCAGCGGCAGATACCGTACCTAACRTATTCATACAACGATCCGACACTTTTGTGGGCGTCTTTTGACTTTCGATGACCGTCGATGTTTAAGCRTTTTGGTCTCGATAGTCGTTATACGCCAAACTGAACAACGTGTTACCACTCGTATTACTTATAGGTATACGACACATGGTGATGGCATGTTATCAAATACACAATGGAGGGRGATATTCAGAAAGATGATATTATGATTACAAAAATATTCATTATTTAGAAGAAAAAATATTTTTTTCAATGGGCGATCAAGTACCTAGTACTACACATAGTACTCGAAACCTATGATAATAATACTAGGTATGATATTATGTATATATAATGCGTCTACTTAACGAATATGATGTCGATWCGGCCAAATTCTATGTTTTCGTATACAAAGTGTTTTTTATTACCATTATTATTATTATTATATTGTACGCGTGACCTAGAGATTAGAATGTTGGTTTGTCGTCGATGTATAATATTTTAATGATTGAATTATATCAATCGTTATAGTGTACGACATTATATAAAGCCCACGTATCGAATATTTCACCCAGAAGTAATACACATCGTAATAATATATTATTATATTATGCGCAGTATTATAAACAATAATGTCATGTACCGTGTGTGTAGATCGAATGCGACCTGTATAAATCCCAATTGAAGTAACAATCTAATATCGATTCCGCTAAATAGCACATGCGTACATTATTACACGACGTGGCCGGTTAACGTTTATTTYGATTGTCCGCCTGTGTACCATGTCATTTGCATTGAATTATATTATTCTCATCTCGTTTGAGTTTAGTTGTCTATCCACTTGAACGGAGCCGTCGCCTTAATTTCTCTTTACGGGTTTATTTTTGTTCACACCATTAGCTGACACGCCACACATATTTAGGGTTAAAAGGGTAAATAGTTTGAACCAGGAATCGCGTGTCCGCTATACCATGTAAATAATGTATGTATTATAGTCATAAGCTCTCAAACACAACAAAAAAATTTAAAAATTTGCCTCTCGGAGTTCATCAACTACACGATCGGCTTGTGTGTACTCGCCGTTTTTGCGTTACCTACTCTCTGGTTTATTTATTAATATGTGTACACACGATATATTTCATTTTGTCTATGTTTGCTCAAAGCATACCCTGACGTATATATTGCACCAGAATCAGGCAATTTAAACTTTATTTAATTAATAATATTAATTAATACACTGTTTATTATTTGTTGACATGTATGTAAATTGTAAATAAAAAACATCCTGCAAAAACTAGGTTTTAGTAATTATAGATCGAATCTAATATTAACATGCGTACAACCATCATATGACGGTGAGAGTACTTTTTTTTCCAATCAAATTCTAATGAAGTGTATCACTATATAACCGTATTACGAATGTTAAAGCCAACATATATAATATAAGACGTCTAAGMTCTGCTGAAAGTTAATAAAATGATTAATATTTATTTAGAAATTTGTACTTAGAACATACAGCGGTATATACTTATACGAGAATTGTTTTTTATTCACCTCAGTCTACAGAGGTTATCCATCTAATTTTTYAAACAAGTGTACCGTTAAGTTGGAATGACGGAAAATACATTGCGCACGATCACAGTACCAAATAATTGCAATACGCCATACGCCAGACGCCACTTGGGTAATCACGACTTTCTCCCCCTCTCACTATTTTACTTCGTTGATCGGCTATTATTCGACTGAAGAAAATAAAATTTAAATAGTTTATTTGTATGATACTCCTTTACTGCAAGTGCTTATATGCAATATGTAACATAAAAAGGTAGGTACCTATTCATGAACCTATTCATGTGTATAATGAAGTACCAATATAAAGTTTAGTTATGTAGTATATATGTTAAATCTTAAATGTTGATTGATTTGAATTTCCTTTGTATAAAAATGAGTGTTTTTATAATCAGTTTCAGAACTTTTATTAGGCTTTATTATATGACATAGCCCATTCTACTCTAGTCTAATCTAAACTAAAAATCATTTAAATATCATACCTAGGATGAGTCATTTGAAATTAAGGGTACCTATCAACATTTTAATAGATCTCCATGATACTATTATTAAACTACTAAAAATATAATAATTGAAGTGATACATCACAAAATTAAAAAAATATAATTTACATAATCATTGTTATTGATATTTTAAATGATTTAATTTATCGAAAATTGAAATAAATGAGCTACATTAATTAAGTATAAATACATACTTAGGTTGTTTTACATATTTTCCTCATCCAATTTGAATTACTTTTTATAGACCGTCGTTTTCTATTTACTTTAAACGCGTTTTAATAGTAGACTATTAAACCTTGAGGTATTTTTATACTTTTTGTATTTTATCATAGAGTACCTATACTATGTTGATTATGAACTCATTTTTTACAGATAGAATTAATCAAATAATAAAGTGTTTGTTTCGAATGTCCAATATCATAAAGTTTAACGTACCGTTCAATTGTCGAATAMGATTACGAGAATAAATAAACCGTGGGTAATATTCGTTTAAAAATTGTATTTCGTATTCAAATTATTAGTCACCCCGGTTTCATAAATATTTCAAAGGAAATTTGATGACTAATATAAAAAGAGTTCTTCAAAAACCCATTACCTATCGAAAAAAAATCTGCAATCAGAATAAATTAATCGATCTAAACAATACTTCAATATATTTCGACTGGAACGAATTATATTATACCTACGTATTTTAATCAATGTTTTCACGGATCAATGCAGTTGAAAATTTTMTTAAATAAATATTTAATTGTAGCTGGTAATCATCACATAACAATCAAATACAATGGTTACTGGTAAGGTAAGTGGTTGATATTTAAAACTCTAAAGATATTATTAAATTRTCACCGTAATCAATAGTGTTTGGGTAAAACGATTTTGCTATTATAGTCATTAATAACCACATTTTAAAAAACAAACTATCCCATGGTGRAATAGTTGAATATTGTAGTTTACTATGATAGTGTTATACTGCCTATTAAGACGATATTAATTCTATAAAGCTAATTTAATTTTAAATAAGCACACACCACAWTCAGCTGTTTCGGAATAGCTACGTTAACTTCGGAGCATCCAAGTGGGATCCCAAATACTAGGTGTTAATGATTAATCACTGGTAGTTTACTAGTTGGGTCACAAATTTAATTAGCCTAATAACATTCTCYCCCCTATTTTAAAAGACTTAGTATTACCTATGATATATTTTTGGCCAAAAAAAAAAATGAATATAAATTATTAAAATTGTTCAAAATATAATATTACATAACACAAAAGGTTAAAAATAAAATACTAAAAATACATATCCCATATTATAAAATACATTGAAAACATCATGCTTCTGATGATAAACATTTTTTGTAAAAACAAATGATGTACCTAGATACATAGTTTTATTGGTAAAAAATATTTTTAYGTAAATTAATTATAGGTATGAGAAGTTTAAATATAATTTAAAAAAATAACTTTATATTGTATAGTTTACATATTTATTATTTGATTTTCAGCACTTAAATATATTTTCAGTTCATATCGTATACTATATCATATTTTTTTTAAACTGTAATAAATAATAATATAATATTTTTATTGGATGAAAATCATTTTTAACCATACTTGTGGTAAAAAATACATCATAGACTTGACTGGTCTCAACTCAGATGCAGCCGTYCAATTATTATACTATAATAGTTACTTATTGATTAAGTTCTCGTACTTATTATAAGTTGATATTCACATATTATTGTGACCTTTATTAAGAGTTATAATGTTATATTATGTGACTGCTCTCATTAAAAAAAAAGTATTATAGGTTGTCTAAACATAATGAAATTATCATACGTTCCAATGTCTTATTTATATTATATTACCTACAAAACGAAAACATTTTTTTTTTTTTTTAAACAATCGTTTGTTAAATTTGATACGCTTACGTTTTTTACCCTTTTTTATGCATATATTATGTAGGTATACATTCATATTTTAATATTTAAGTCATACATTTGAAAAATATAAATGCAGTCACTCGGTTCAACGATTGCCTTGAACTAGAAAGGTGGTTTTTTTTTATTATTTCGGGAAAACATTGACATGCGTGTTAATGATACACACATTTGACACTGTACGCATGCATATAATATATTATACCACTCGGTGCGGAAAAATGATTTCGATGTTTATCAGTATGATTCACAAATATTTAAAAAAAGGGGTTGATGTTTATAATAAT